CTCTCTCTCTCTCTCTCTCTCTCCTGCCCCGCTCACGAGCGTCACCCGCTGGCTTTCTCTCTTTCTGCGCTCTCCCCCTTTCCGGCAGCGTACTCAGGTCTACCCTTGATTGATTGAGAGGGGCAGTAGAAGTATGCCCTCAGTTGTTTTCTCAAAAATAGTTAAATCAGTAGCGGACTCCTCATTCGGTCAACTTTAGTCTCAACTAACTGCAGCAGAACCAAGCTCAGAAATGTTTTCCTCTACAATAATTAAATTGATGATGATTGATAGCTGTTCATCTTCACGACGCAGCGAATGAGACACTGTTTTGTTCCCCTAAATAAATAAATAAATAAATAAATTAATGGTGATTGCTCGTTCAGACAAGCGGCTTAAATTGACCCTCTTTCACTCTCTTCCAGCTCTACCCCACTATCTTTCTTTGTCACTGACTTACTCTCTCACTCAAACCCTCYCTTCAACACTCATGCCTGTGGACCCACCAGCCTTCGCGTACAACTTACCTGATCTCATAAGTTTCCCTTCTTTCGGAGTGGCTGGTTCTGGAGTCAACGGAGCGGATAAATTGGGTTCCCACGAGTATCACCGGTTCATCAACCAGAGGTATAGTTGAATCTGCCTCTGCCCAGCGCCATGGCTGGTTTCTTCAACAGTGTCACCAGCAGACTGGCGGATCCCATCTACTACATAACTTGGTGGCTCTCTCCGTTAGCGGATTACCAGATTCCATCTGCGACCGAATATAGCTGTAGTTCTCCCTTGCAGGATAGCAAATCCCACCAACTGTGGAAAGTGGCCGTTGGCTTCTCGCATAGGGTGGCAGATTCCATCAACAGTAGAATGTAATTGATACTTTCACAGATCCCATCAACAGTAGATGTTGATTGGTGTTCTCACTCGTGAGGCAGCAGGTCTAATCAGCAGTAGAGTGTGATTGGTGTTTTCATTCGTGAGGCATCAGATCTCATCTGCAGTAGAGTGTCATTGGTGCTTTCACTCGTTAGGCAGCAGATCTCATCTGCAGTAGAGTGTGATTGGTGTTTTCACTCGTGGGGCAGCAGATCCCATCTGCAGTAGAGCCACATTCCCCTTCTCGTCTTGCCCATTTGGCAGCCGCGGACGCCGTGCTCCCGCAATTACCGAGAGCGTGCAGATTCCCTTGCTGCTGGATCATCAGCTGGCTACGCCTGGCGTGTCTCTCCAAGTCTCCTTCCCGAACCATCACCTCTCAGTCAAACTAGCGCCCCGTACTCCTGGCACCCTGCCAGAATCAATTTCTCCCCCTTACCCCGCGCCACAGGTGCTAACGGAACGTCAGATACACCTTGCACGCCGCCCAAAGGCAAGTCCCCCTGTCTCTCTCCCTCTCTCTCGAATATGCTGCGCAGTCTGATCCTCTCACTCTCTTTCTCAGTCTCTCCGCACCCCCCCTCTGTGCATGCTACGTGGGCGGGGAACGCCTTGCATGGTGCCCCCAACGCGTTGACCTGCCTGGATCCCACTATGTTGTGGGCCAGGTACACCTTGCATGTTGTCCCCGATCTCTCCTCTGTTCCCCCCTATATTCATTCCACATTTGCTTGTACTGCCGAGACCGTCGGTACCAGGCCCAGCACAGGCTCATTACGGGTGGTACGTGAGCACCGTCCTCGGGTCAACAACTGGGCGTCGTGGTACCAAGGCCCTTCAGGCCCAGGCGTGCCGCCTCCGGGTCAGTCCTCAGTTATCCCGTTCCGGTTCAGAAAGCCTGTCGTCCGTCGTCAAGTGGCCAGGCACACCAAAAAAAAAAAAAAAAAAAAAACTGCGTCGTGCCGTTGCTAAACCAACACCGAGCTTGAAGATGACACAGCGGTGTGTACCACACCGAATCTGATCCATCCCGAACCTGGAATAAAAGGCCGTAGCAGTTCCGAAGCAAAAAAAAAAAAAAAAAAAAAAAAAAAAAAAAAAAAAAAAAAAAAAAAAAAAAAAAAAAATCGCTGCTGTGGCCCCGATCCTAAAAAAAGGTCACCGTAGTGGGCCCAAGCCTGAAATAACGCGCCATAGTGGCACCAAACCGGGTATAGATGGCCGCTGTGATGGTGCCGAGCCTGAGTTAATTACCTGTGATAGCACCGAACCTGGAATAACCTGCCGTCCAGGTTCCGGGCCTGAGACAGACCACCGCGGCAGTCTCCAGACTTGAAAATAAATCGTCCCRAAGCCGCAGAACCTGAAATAAGCCGCCGTGGCGGCGGCGTACCTGAAATAAGTCGCCACAGTGTCCCCAATAAATTGTCTTAATGGCACCGAACCTGACACATGCCACCGTGAGGGTGCCGAATCCGGATAATAGTCTGCCGCAGCGGTGCCGGAGCTGAAAAAAAATCACCGCCGAGCCTGAAAATAAATTACCACTAGGATCCCGAACCTGAAATACATCGTCATAGTGGCTCCAAACCTGAAGGTAAGCCTCCGTGACGGTTCCGATCCTGTAACAAATAGCCATGATGATGCTGAACCTGAAATAAATAGCTGTGATGATGTCGATCCTGGAAATAAATCACCCTGGTRCCCRAACCTGAAGTACGCCGATTCCGRCTCAAGCCGATCCTCAAACATGTCCGGTACCGAACCTGTCATCATGYCGTYGGCCCAATGTAACACGACCCCACGYTGTCCATATCCATGCGGGCATCGTCCGTTCCGCCGGGTTCAGTAAGGCTAGCAATCAGGTAAATAAGGGACACATCATAGAGAGTTTCGATCAATGGGGGATAGTAAAAAAAGTTTGAGCTCAGGGAATTTGATCAAATCGGGGTTCTGAGCCGACGGCGGGTATCCCAAGCAAAAACCGGGCCAAGCATCGAATAATCATTAGCTCCTGTTTGTTCCACCCTTTTTTAATCGTTCTCCCT